CCCACGGACACGGCGAACTCCGAATTCGCACGTGCGCGCGTGAGCACGTGACAGCCCCTAGCGGCGTTTCTTCAGTGGGCAGCGACTAGCTGAGCGTGTTTTGCTGCAAAGTTGTTCCTCTAAACCCTCCCTCCCAAGTATCACACCTGACAGAGGCCCCTCTTTACGGAAAATGCTCTTCCGGGTACCCTACCAGCGTTGCTATGTGAGTGGGACCAAGGGTACGAAGCATGTGTGTTGATTGATCTGGATGGTTTTTACTCTTCTTGTAAATACGTAGTTCCGAAAGGCAATCCCTGGACCCATCATTTGTTCATCTTGCTGGTGCTCGGTAGGGAATGACCCGGGCGTTGGGAATGAACCTAGGGATTCCCTTAGAGGCAACCATAGGGGATGGTTTCTAGCGGTTATTCCCTCATTCCCTGCTGAGAACCAGCAAGTCATCTCAATGTTCGCTTTTTGCCCTCAGTCAAGTTTGGACCCAAGTGGCAAGTTGAACATGTTTGCAGGGCAACCCCCCCGTCTGGGGAAAAGGCCCATCCACCAATTTGTGTGAAGATCTTATCAGTCACGATCCCGTGGCAACGTGGATAGGGCAATCAGCAAACATGGTAAAACAATTATTGTAGCTGACAATTGACCTTACCCTCGCTCCTTCCATGAGCATAGCACCCGACAGATGGTCCCTTGCAAAGGAGTTTGAAATCTTGGATACCCTCCCATAGATGTCTTCCGTTTGCTTACGAATATGGTTCCCCTGATTGTAAAGGGAATCTCTCACTAGTGGACATATTTTCATTTTTTCCAGGGACTTCAGAAGATGGAGGACAGGCCTTGTTTGAGAATAGCTCCCACTCAGCGTGCAGATCGACTTTTGGCCGCACAGTTTGGCCCTCGAAGGATTTCTCGAGGTGCCGGACCAATGTGACACAGACATTCTAGGGGTTCCTTCCCCATTCTTTCCAGGAATCTTTCTTTCTAGCAAACCTCCAGAAACCCAAAACGAAAACAGCTTATTGAAAAGAACGCTGGTTGAAAAGAATGGGGGAATCAACTCCTAGAGACATGGCTCATGTGACGCTCGCAGGTCAGAGACTTCGACCAAATCGGGGCAGGAGATGCCTTGGCTTTGTTTCACCAGGTCGACCTACAGAGCCATAGCTGGGCTGGTGGCAGAATGGCCACAGTTCCGGCCCCCTCACCCCAGAGCCCCAGCAAGAAGTTCGGGCCACCCCCACTTATGCAAAACATGGTGGTAGAGGAGAAGCAAATCCCGGCTTTAGGGTGGAACATTGACCATGGACCAACAGGCGTTGCGGGATGTGTTTGAAGCCAAGGCCCAGCCCAGAAATCCCAGCTAGCGAATCCAGATGGGCGAAATCCCGGCAGTCTATGACTGGGATCTGTGTGTTTAACGGATTTGAACCACAAGTTGTGGGTCATTAATAGAGTCAGAGTCATTAAGCTTAAACTTGGATAGCAGGCATTTTTTGGCCGTGTGTTTGGTTGGGGGCCATTTGCCGATGTAGATTCAACGATGCCTTGACCATTTGTTTGTTCGTTGAGCAATTGCAACCAGCTGTTTCTGTTTGCATTGACCCACCCAAGAGACGGGGCGGGTTCCATGGATGGGAGATCAACCCGAGCTCCAAGACTTAGGACCAAGCCGTAGGGGTGGAAACAATCAGCGGGCGGCTCCACTTTTTGTTAAAGGTTTTTGCACCTCCGACACGGATTTCGGTGTCCTTTTGGATTCTCTTTAAACCCATGCTAAAAAGGGTAATCTCCAAAAAAGACACCCAAGTGGATCCTGTTTTTTTCCGGTTTTGAGACGGCACCCAGCTCGGTATGAAGAAGTGGCTGGATTTGATTTGGGAGTCTCGGGGTATGGTGGAGCCCAAATAAGCCCTTATTAAGCCCTTAATAAGTAGGGCTTATTTGGGCTCCCTCCCCCTCCCCTCTCTCGCTCTCTCTCTCTATCGCTCTCTCTCTCTCTCTCTCTCTCTGTCTCTCTCTCTCTCTCTCTCTCTCTCTCTCTCTCCCAGCCACCATGATCAACTAGTAGAAAGCGCTAAGACCAATTCCAGTGGACGCGTCCTGGTTTTGCCCATCGCCATCTCATGAGTGACACCGGTACAGTATCACTCGCGACTCGCATCCGGCCGGAATGGCACTCGATGCCGGATCGGCAGCTTGAGGGCAGACTTGGTGTCTCACAGACGCAGCAGCCAGTAATATTTGTAGGCTTTGCTCTTTCTTCAGGGCCTTAGCGGAATTCGTGGTCTCACTTTGATTTAGGAGGCGGGACACTGTGGACATGAGACTTTGCTGGGGGTTCATGTCACTGAGGCTCCAACTCTTCAAATGTTTCGCACTTTCAGGTCGGTTGCTTTCCCCTGCTCGGTGCCAACTGGGAGTGCTGTTTGGGTTCCAAGACAAAGGTGCACAGAGCAAGCGTGGCATCCTTTAAGTTTCCTCATGGCAGGCAGGGCACAGGAATAGAGCCAGCTTGTGAATCTCTATACCTGTGCGGTTGTGTGACTACGATGTTCTTGTGATTGCCCTTTTGGGTTTGCCATTGCATAAGTGTATCCTTGTTACACCACCAAGTTAACTTGTTGCAGAGGGGTTCAGTCTGGTTATTGTGGATGGGCAAACACCTGCGTTGGGATGGATCCGACCCGATGAATACTGGGATTAGCTACTTTCCATTTGGCGCATGAAAGCCCTGAGTTCCTGGACTTTGCGTTTTTTGGGTTACCAGTTTAGTGTCAGAAAAGGTTCAGCCTTTTGTGGTTGCCATCCACCCGATCGAACGTGAGGAAGCCTCATGCCGTTTTCTTGCTCGATCCCATCTTGGCAGCCTCCGGCCAGATTCGCAGGTTATGAGTCGGCCCTCGAGGGACACAGCCCTGGCGGCAGCCCATGTTCGGTGGCCGAATGGGTGCGAAGCATCCTATGTCCACGCAACTCAAAGTGGCCCTCCCCCATGCTTGCCGGGGAACTTGGGTTTCCAGGAAGGGAACGTGGGAGGCTCAACCTGAAGGATGTGGTCTCAAAACGGGGGGAGTCCCCAAAAACACGGGTGGCTTTAATTCTTCCAACCCCATGCCCTGAACAAATCACGGGCGCGCGTATGTTCACAAGGCTCATCTTGAAAGAGGAGCTTTCAAGGTTGCCATGTGCCAGGGTAAAACCACCCGGTTGCTTGGAGGAGCCGGGGAAGTCTTGTGAGGGTGCCCACTACGAGCCACGGTTCTTTCGCTGGCAAAAAACAAGTCTGACTTTTACCAGCGCCACAACATGTTTTGTCGGTAGTAAGAACAAGTCTGACTTTGACCAGTACTAAAAAGCATCATTTCCGCTGCGCGCACAAGTTTTCATCATGGCCCACATGCTTTTTGGCATGGGTTTTCGAACTTCAGCCACTGCAAACTTGCCTCGGTGTTTTGCTGCGACACCTAGAGAGGACATGTCCACCATGTTGAACATGTCGCACTGGGCCGGGTTCTTATACACGTGTTGCAGCCTGCCAAAGAGTCATGTATGCAGCATCCTAGAGCCCAGTTTTTGGAACCCATGAGACGCGCCCGAATTGTCGCAGGGCTTCGCAATTTGGCCGCCTTACAATTTGAGCATGCACCCGATGTAATGCTGCAAGCTGCAACCTTTTCTCCGCGCGAGGCCGCGGGCGAAAATGGCGTGCTCTTTTTTCTTTCTTCCTCCACTGGGTTTTGGCAAAAGTTCTCGGTATCCAGCCAAAGCTTCCGAAACGTATTTAATGAACTGAGAAGGGGTCCCTGGAGACTACTTAGCCCCGTTCCAGCGATCGATCTCTCAGAATGTCGAGTGGTAGCCTCCGGTTCGTTGCGAGATCAAAGAGTTCAGCCCGCAGTTCAGAGGCTTTCTTATCACGAGCGATCAACCCGGGCCTGGGAAATGATACCAGACATACCCTTGCCTTTGGCTTCCTTTTGAAAGTAACTTTGAACACACAATGGCCCACTATGGTACATACCCTGTGGGTTTCCTTTTGAACAGAACTTGGAACATGCCATGGTATTGCTCGCATGTGCCCAGGAAACATGAGCCATTTGCATTGGATGGGGAAGGCTCACACCTCGCCTTTCGCCTTGAGGTCTTCATGTTCTTTTGACCAAAACGCTACCTGCTTGCTCATGCTCCACAGCAACCGCTGAGCAAGGAGCCGCTTGCTCATGTCCCTCTAAAAAACCAGCGACAAGTGAGTCAGCTGCTCATTCCCCGCCACAAGCGAGTGGTCACTTGCAGGGGGTCTAAGCGGGTCTAAGGTGATGCGTCTCCCTTTTGACCAGAGTGGTCTCATTCGTCTGGCTTGGTTTCTAGAGAAACCCCTGGCGTTCAAAGACTCCGACTTTGACTCCGTGTGGTTTGGGGGCCGCAAACCAGAAGGGCCCCCCGCGGGTTCCCGGGCGACGCGTAGCTCTCTTTTGGCTTTTGTCACCATCCACTCCAAGGATTGGACCAAGGGCATAGTGCGCATTTTTTTTCGCGTTGGAAGCTCGTGTTCCAGGCGTCGAAGATGCGCGCCATGTTTCGGAGTTGGGGGACACCAAATGGCGTCGGATTGCCTGTTGATTTCCCTTCACACCTGAACAGGGCACCCTGCGAAAGAACAGACACGCATTTTGGCATTTTGGTTCCATGTCAGTTCCTTGGAGGGCGATTGGAAAATAGTTCACCCAAACGTGGCTTGGTGCACAGATCCCTTCACTCACTTGTGAGGTTACGGACTTCAAACTTTTCGGCAAGGTGCCATTCTAGTGCCAAACAAACAGTTTGGAAAAGCGTGGACCTGGAGTCTCCATGACCCTTCAAAAATAGGGTCATTACCCAAAATACAGGGGTCATGGACCCATTTTTAAAGGGTCATGGAGACTCCAGGGACCATCCAAGTAGGAGGTGAGTTGAAGAGTTTCCTCTCGCTAGGGCGGCCCAATTTGGTAAATCCGGCTCGCCAGGTGTACTACCAGAGGGCCACGGGCGGAGCGGACCTCGAGGACGCGACAAACATGAGCAGTGTGGAAAGGGGACATATTGGGTGTCTGTCATTTTTTTAGGGGGAACCCCCTTTGCTTGTTTTCTATGTCCCCCAGTAGCGCCCTTTTACTTCTTTGTTGGGAGGGTCGAGGGTTTCCCTACTAAAATAGACTACTGAAAAAAGAAGGTACCCTTATTCTAACCGCTCTACTGGAGGACCTAGTTTTTCTTGGGGAAACCAAACGCGAAGCTACCATGTTGGAGCCTGTTTTGAGACAACCCCCTATATTTCCCACAATATAAACAACTCAAGTGAAGAGTTAGTCGTTGGAAGGCCGGTGACAAATGGATTGTGGAGGGCGGGCCGAGGCTAAAAGCATCGGAGGTGGTTTATGCCATTCACACCGCCTGTTTAAATTCAAGAAAGGTACCTTCCAATCAACACACACCACCAATGGGGTGCGCTTAGGTGTTCTGAGGATTAAGGGGCTCCCTCCCCTTTTTTTTGAAGGGCCCATTTGAAATGGTTTTCCCCAGAATGATTGATACCCCAACGAAACGTTGGTCCCTCCCAACTAGCCAACTCGCCAAACCATCTCTCCCTTTGGAGCCAAGCAACACCTGGTGTTCGCCACATCCCCACCAAGCCCTTGCCAGACACCGAGAGGTTAAACTTCCCCTTGAGCTTTTATTTTGGAACGTGTTTGTTTCTCCTGTTGTATGGAATTTATCTCCCTTGTTGGAGGGTTGTGTTCCTTTTCGGATGCGCTTCTCCAAATGATTCCTCATTGAAATCCACAGTTTGGAGGGGGGGTCCCTTGACAAAGTCATGTTTTATCCCAAAAAAAAGAGAGGTTGTCCCTTCTTGTTGATGGGTGTGTGTTCTCCTTTGACCGGGGAAAACCCCCCCGTTTGTCCCAGTGGAAATCAGGACACCGCCTGGGTGATCACTGGCGGTGGTGGCGGTGTCACCGCCGAGATGCTGCCGCCGGCTGCCCCAGAAAAAAAACGGGGAAGCGGGGGTGGCGGGGGGGGGGGGTGGTGGGGTGGGGTGGGGGCAATGTTGTGGTTGGCAAACGTTGTTTTGTGGTTGAAATCAACGTTTTTTTGTTCTTTTTTTTGTGGCAATGTTGTTTCCTCATTTTTGGGTTGTTGTGGTTCAGTGGTTGAAATCCAGCCACTCGGCGCTGGGACCTGGGGCCCTGGCCGCCAGTTGCACGGCCCAGAAGAAGCGGCACCCTCTGGAGCCCTGCTTCTTTGGAATCCGTAGTGGCGGTACTCCCGTGTTCTAAGGGTTGATTCCAACCATTCTTTTCAACCATCGTTCTTTTCAAAAACCGGCCGTTTCCCTGGGTTTCCGGAGGTTTTCTAGAAAGAAAGATCCCTGGAAAGAATGGGGAAGGTAGCACTAGAGTTTTGGTATGCCGAGCTTGCCCTTATTCGGAGAAAGCACGGGTCATTGAAAAAAAGAGTGGGTGTGCCATCTGAAAGTCCTTTTTTAGATATTTCTGATCACAGCAGGATGTGTGCAATTATTCAGCCCCTTCCTTCTCTTGATGTGTGTCTACTTTTTTGGGGAAGCGCTAGTTGCCTAATTTAGGAACATCAAAAGGACCCCCCAAAGTTGTGGCTGTCCTTTTCGTTTGCCTTTAAACCACACAAAATGATACCGAGCCTCAAACACAGGCCGCGCCACGATAATTTTGGGGCACCCATCTTGAGAACAGAACCGTTCTAAGGACCAGCTCCGGCTACGATGACGCGTATGGCTTCATGGACTGGCGGTGAGTCACATGGCTGTGGGTCAAAATTGGGGATCCCCAAAATGGAACCCTGGTAAATGAAAAAAAAGACGAACAGCGCTTCACCCTAGCTCTTTAGTGTGGAGCCCCATCAAAACCAATGGGATCCCATGTTGGGATAGGTGAATTCACCACCCATTTCAGTCTATTTTAGTGGGGATTGGGATGTTCACTGGGGGTACGATTTGGCTTTTGACCCATGGCCACATGCGAAACGAACTTGACAACCCCGAAGCTGACTTCCCCCCCAGCGGACGCTTTGGTGGACGCCATTTGGGGATTCATGTCCGCCACTGTTGGAGGTTCCCGATGAAATTCCAGCATTGGGACAAGCCTGCCTGGGCTCAATACAGGGGGTCAACAGGTTTAGTCATCTCACCAGGTTGGAAAGAGCTAAATGATTAGGGTTTTACTCCCAAAACATGTTTGGTCTCACCACATCATTTGAAGGGTTTGTTATCTTTCCCAAAAGGGGTCTTAAGACAGACATCTCACCACCACCACTGACCTTTCCGTCAATTTGCCCCTTGGAGTGGCTTTCATGTTCACCTCTTGACCAGCAACCGCTCCTCACTTTGGGTCCGATCTGTCGAGCCAAGATCTCACGTGCAAGGTCGAACCACCTCTTTACTGGGGCTTTGGTGGGGTCATCCGCCGCCAGGGGATATTCGTCAACTATTGCAAGCCCATGGCCCACCTGGTGAACTGTTGATGTCTGAGGGCACCCTTTGGTTGACCTCTTTCAAACGAACTTCCTGGACCTTGTTTTGGGAAGCCAAAGGAACATGAGAGTGTTGACCAAGATCTCCACAAACAGCGGCTAATTACTTATTTTTTGTTTCTTCTTGTTGGAGAGGGTTCCAGATCAGCCAGAAAGAGAGCAATAAGTATTCACCTACCTACCTCCAGGAAGAATCCGCTTCCTATCAAATCGCAGAACAAATGACTCCCTTTGAAATTAAGTACAAAGAAAACGGGTTATCCAGGGGAGGGGTACTTTTTTAAGGATGTTTTTTTGCTTTTCTTTTTTTTGCATTTTGCCTCGCTTTTGGCTTCTTGGCTTCTTGGCCTTTTGGCTTTTTTATCTTTATGTTTATGTATGTCTGCACTTCTTCGAACATCATAGGGGAAGCCCCCCCAACCCCCTCGCTACTTTTTAGATCTTTTATAGAGATGTAATTGCACCCCTATTTATTTGAATCAGAACTTCTTCGAACATCATGGGTGGGGCTGCTGCCCCCCCCCCCAACCTCCCGCTACTTTTGGATTTTCTGCTGAGATTTAATTGCATCACTGTTTGAATCATCATTTGTTCAATTTAGTGTTTTTATCCATGATTTGTTGGTGATGCTGGGGATGTCGGTGGGACATGCGGGTGCAGGGGATGTTGACGGGCTGGTGTAAAATACGTCAATTTCGCGAGAAAATGCTGTGAAATACGACATTTTGCTGGCCAAGACGAAGAACGGAGAAAACAAAAAGCTACACAATTCCCAAAATCAATCCGCAACCTTATCCAGGAGTTTTCCACTGGAACTCGGTCTTGGTCTAAGAAACCTGGGTCCACTTGAACTCGTTGTCCGGCGCTAGGACATGAGCATCTCCCTGAACGAGTTGGAGATTGCGGCCATCTCCCACGGGGGCGTCAACGGCAAATACATCGAGCGCTCCAGGAGAGCCGATTTCGTTGAAGACCCCAAGTGAGCCACAATCAAAGCCCGGGTAGATGAAGGCTAGTTAGGGACAATCCCAACCATAAATAGCTGCGGCCGCCTTCCTAATTCTTCACATTGTTCTGGGCAGACCATTTTACTACCGGGTTTTGACTATGACTCAAGTGGTTTTCTTCGAATTCGATTTGATCTCTTCGAGGTGTTCGAGGTGATCCTCGATTCTGGGAATCAGCGAAACAGCCCTAGTACCCATGAGGGGTTTCTGCGATTTTCAGACGACAGCAAAACAGGAACGGAGAAATTGCGGGAGCCCTGACTTATGCCCTTCCCTTCAATTGTCTTAGGGCGCGTGTTTGTGTTTGTTCGCCTTTCATGCGGTGCAAGCATCAAAAGATTCCCTTTGGGTACATCCCCTATACACAGCTCACCGATCGAAAAGTAAACCGAGCAGTGCAAAACCCGTGATGAAGGTTGCTGACTTGGGGATCCTTATTTATCAAGTGGTTAGTTGATGTTATCTGTTTCTTTCTTCCTCGCCCTAAACATCCACTGAGGGTGGCCTCCAGGTGGAGGTGTCTTGTTGAAGGGTGTTCTGGTTTTTGAGGGCACGCAAAAAACACACATGCAGAGGTTGTTTGGCACAGTCCGTGAGGTTTTGTTCACGGGTGATTCCCCAAGTCTGCTAGAAGATGCCCAACAACATCAGACGGAATGATACAAGCTGTGCAGGACCTGCTTTAAGGAGGATACGTGCGTTTTGTTTTCAACCAGGAGTCACTTCCCAATGTGCAATCACCTGCTAAATGGCCCATTCTTCATTTTCCCAAAAAGAAACCACACCTGAGTAGCAACAACGTTTTTCTTTGTTTCTAGACCCCGGTTTCTTCCATGTCCACCCCCAGATCCGTTCGTAGGACGAAGGTGGCCCCACGTCTCAAGCCAAGCTGCTCGGCAGAGAAAAATCCACGCGCCGATCCGCGGCGCGGGATTTGGGCGCCGGTCCGAATGTTAACCCCGGATTGCTAAACCCCTGGTTGATGAATAGGGCGTGGTCCCCTTTTAGTGGGGATTCAGACCACTTTTGGAGGGAACACCCCAAATAATGGGACTTAATCCTGGGTCAACATTGTGTCATCTTGGTACATTTACTTGAGCTACAGCCATATTCTTCAAAGAATGGGGGGTTGTGTTGTTGGTTTGTTTGTTTTTTCTTTGGGGGGGGGGCTGGGGGACAGATTGCCAGTGGGGGGGGCCTTCCTCGCTCGATATTTCCCTTGTTGGAGCTAAGTGGCAGTTCCAGAGTCTCATGGCAACCCACCCAGGGATCGCAACTTTTGTTCTCAAATGCTTGTGGGGGTTCCCCAACTGAGTATGCGGGTGTTTTCTTTGCGGCGTCCCAATTTTGGAGCTACTTTTAATGGGACAAAGACGCCCGCCATTGTGGGATTCCAAATGAGGTGCTGTCCCAAAACGCAAAGGTTTGCTCTTGATGGGGGGTGTTCTTGCACCACAAGTGGGAGCCAATTTTTATCCTTGAGTTGTTGTGTCGAAAGTGTTTCCTGGAGTTGGGCTCCATGTGTGGGTCAAAACCAATGGGATACCATTTTGGGGTAGGTGCACCACCCATTTTAGAACCTATTTGAGTGGGGACTGGGATGTTCACTGGGGGTACGATCGGGATTTTGACCCATGGCCGTATGAATAGATGAATCCGAATGTGGTTTCTGATAGCCAAGGATAGCCCAGGATAGCCAAGGATCCGAGAATAGCAAAACGAGAGGGCCCAATCTCCCTTCAGATGCATCAACCATATCTGGGGTAGACTTGGGATACATTTTACATTTTACCAGTGACTCAAAGTGTAGCAAACAATAAATATCACCCCCCCGCTTGTCCCGACACAGTTTTCTGCCGTGCAAAAGTTAAGTTGAGATTATTTCGGAAAGCCTTCGGCTGTGAACATCGGGCGAATTCCTGAACGGGCAACATTACGAGGCGAACAAGGTCGAGCAAATACAAAACAAGGTCAAATAAATACTGCACATCTTTAGCGTGAGATTAAGAACGTCACTGGGTGAAGGTAAATAGTTAAATACGTGAAATATCGGGCTGACATATTTTGAAGGTTGAATGGAGCCGGTCCAACGTGGACACATTTGTGTGAGTCATGTCCACCGAAGGGGTCGAACCGCAGTGCAGAATTGCCCAGTGCACCTCCGAAGGGCTTCTCCTACGGGAAAGCCAAACGACTGGCTGCTTGAGCTTAGGCCACGTAGCATTCCAGCACAAGAGATTGGAGCACCCAAGGTTCACCCAGGGATGCAACCGCGAGGTTGGAAAGGATGCTTGTCCTATCATTCTTTGCTTGCACAGCCGGCTGTGCCCTTGGGCCCCTCGGAAGACACAAATTCTATTGTCTCACAGAATGCAGCGGGAAGCATGAGGGCCCTGGCTAAGGCGTGGATGCAGTGGACGATATGGAGATCACCGTCTGAGCGACGGACGCTCAGGCTGGTTCCTTCAAGTCGTTCTGGGATGCCCGTGCACTGCAGGGCGCTATGGTCCTGTGACTAGGCAACCCACATGTTTGTTCCTGTGAACTTGGTCTCCTCCAGAATGCTGTTGTTGATTTGTGAGTAGGCTAAATGTGTATTGTGATCTGAACATACGTATGATTTTGGCGTAGCCCAGATATGGGCCATGGCTGCGTGCTTGCCCACACTTGAGTTTCTCCTAAAGGCAACTACAAAAGATGCATGAACATGATTGATGTGTGCCAATCACTTGTTCCAGGCTCGCAAAACTCGTCATTTGCAGAGTCCGTTCAAGCCACCTTGTGACGACGGACCTGTGTTCGCTTCTGAACGTGAGGTTTCCTGTCATTTCCAGTTTTGCCTTTTGACTGTCGCCATGTCCAAGCATGAATTCTGCGTCAAATGTAACAAGGGTTAAGGGTTTCGGGTTTAGGGTTTGCCCATAAGGATGGGGGAGGTTTCTGGAGGGCTTCTAACATGGGTTTAGGGTTTAGGGGTAGCTACCCCAGAGAACAGCCGAATCCAAACTCCCCCCTGCCCCACAGCTGACCCGCAAGTAGACATGGTAAGAAAATCCTGATTGCCCCACAGTACACCCACACAGAGATCCATGTGGGTGTGGGTCAAGAATAGGTACCCAAAATGGAACCTTGGTAAATAGAAACAAACACTAAAACCTGCCGTCCCCTGGTCTAATTTTGACCAGCCATGTAGTTCCAAGCCTGGTAATGGCATCGGGTTTATCCCGAGGATCCTCAGAGCAACCTCTAGAAGTGGAATGAATCATTCCTGCCAGGGGGAATCACCCCTTAGTGCAGTTTTTGTTGGACCAATACGAAGCTAACATGAAGTTGGTCTCCTGATACTTGAGAGATAGTTGCTTTCGTGAAAGTGCAAACTACTTCCCAAACCACTTGCCCCGAAACTACTATTCCCTGATCTCAGAGGATACCTTCTAGGTACCAAAAGACCCCGTTGTACCTCCCAAAGCCCTGCCCTTTGGGATTGCCCCCAGGTTCTCCAAGGTTTGGCAGATTACATGTGGGGTGGTTTTGTCAACCATATGTGGCCATGGGTCAAAAGCCAAATCGTACCCCCAGTGAACATCCCAATCCCCACTAAAATAAACTAAAATGGGTGGTGCACCTACCCCAAAATGGTCCATTGGTTTTGACCTACGGCCATGTCTCGACAGACTGTATACTTGTGCATGGGATGTGTCAGAACAGAAGGACCTTTGGACCTCAAATGGCAAGCTTCCTCTGGGCGTCCTCTAAAAGCTGCCCCAACACAACAGATACCCGCAACAAACAAAGTCCCTTCTGTGTTCGATCGTTGGGACCAACTGGAAGTTGGTATGAGACAACGGGTGCCAGATGAAGTGAAAGCAACAACACATGGGCGTGTTCGGCGTCCCCATGCTTCAAGCTGAATGTCCAGTCCTTGATTTGGGTCCTTTGTTTTTGTCGAGTGTACCTTGTTTTTGCGGATTTATAGCAGAACCTAAGGGAACAAGCACAGGTGTTTGTAGGTTTAAAGCGAAACCTAAAGGAACAGCCACAGTTGTTTGTTGTTTTAAAGCGAAACCTAAAGGAACAAACACACGTGTTTGGGGTTTTTAAGTGAAACCTAAAGGAACAAACACAGTTTTTGTGGCTTTAAAGTGAAACCTAAAGGAACAACCACAGTTGTTTGTTGTTTTAAAGTGAGACATAAAAAAACAGGTTTTTGGAGGTCCCCTTTAAACAAGCGACCCGCCCCTTTGGTAAGCTGCGTCGAGCGTCGCGATTCGGAGGCGCTGAAAGGACTTGCCTTTGAGCCTGCCTTCGGACCTCGCCTTTCAAGGTTCCTGCGAATCGGAGCCCGCACTCGAGTTGCAAGCTGGTGGTTGTGACATTTGGGGTCCTCTCTTCAGATTGACTTTGTATATCTTTATGACTGAATATGGCTGTGGGTCAAAACCAATGGGATCCCATTTTGGGGTAGGTGCACCACCCATTTTAGAACCTATTTGAGTGGGTTTGGATTTTGACCCATGGCCATATTAGCATGAAAGAGATAAACGGCCCTAAAATCAAAGGACAGAAGCAGCTCCAGGGTGCCGGCCTTCGAAATTGGCAGCTCGTCGCCTGGTCGCCGAATCCAATCGTGGGAAAGTCTGAGACTCTCCCTGCGGTTCGCCTTGGGGCCGGAGGTATTTGGCTTCAGCCCATTAGGCGCCTGGATTGAAAAAGAGGCGCCGTTCAGCGGGCGCTACGCGCGCGTGGCGGGAGGCGGCGTTCAGAGGGGTTTAAGCCGCGTCAGCTTGATTTAATCACTTTTTGAGTTGGACTTTGGACTTTTTTTTGGGTTTGGGACCATTTTAGTGGCCTACAACATGCGCTCGATCGGAAGCGAGGATTCATGGCCAGACTTTCAGACTCAGCCCCTCAAGTTCTGCAGCCTAGCCTTCAGTCTTTGGAAGTGCTGGCCAACTCGCCAGACTGAAGCAACTGTTGTACTTTTTTTGTGGTTTTCCTTGTAAGCAGCAAGATGTTTATAGCAGGGGGTCTAAACCAGGCCTTTGAGGAAACCCATTGGGTTGCCTTGCTGATCGCATCCACCTTACTTTTGTGTCCGCAACAAGCCTTGACTGTTTTTTGGTTGGAATATTTAGGAGTCAAGCCCATTTGGAAGATGGCACATGCCCCATGATTGGTCGATGTTTGCTTTAGCATGAGGCTTGCACTTATCCCGCATGCGCTGAATGTGGTCGCTTTGAAGGGACCGCTTGTCACCAGCCGTTGTCTCTGCTGGCTCTGAGTGGGAATACTCCAAGAGCCATTGAGGCGATGATTCAATCAATTCCTAAAACCAGCGAGCGCGTTTCCCTTTCTCCACCTGGTCCTTTAGTTCCAATTGCCACTGAGCAAGGGGATCTCTCGCGTTCAGGAGACGCAAATCAAAGTCGTGATGAGTAGCAAAGAGGCCGAGTTACCTTGTGCGACCTGAACGCATGTTCTCAGAACAGGTATCCTTGATATGTCCTGCTTGTCACTGGGCGGATGCTTTGTTTGCAATTGCGTGTGAACATTTTGTCCCCCCATGGGTTGTTTTCCTTGCCTGGCTGCTTGCTTGCCTGCTTTGCTTGCCTGCCTGCCTGCCTGCTTTGCTTGATTGCGGTTGTCCCGGGCGTTCGCAGCTCGAAGGCTCGGCCACAACTCGCGGGGCGCGGGGCACGCGGGGCACGCGGGGCACGCGGCACGGCGCCTGATGGTCGGGAGGCGGGACATCGAGCGTCGAGCGGTGTCCCCGGCGCTTGGAGCGGTTTGGACAAGACTGGGGCATACACCAGGGCTCCTTAAAAGACACATTTTGCAACCATTTGAAACATGGCTGAAAAACCACCAACATGAGGGGAAACCACCATTGACAAGGCAATGTTCAGGTGTACAATGTAAGGATCCCTGCAAACCGACTCAGGTTTACTGCGGTCCACCCAAATAGAGCATGTTGAGACTAATAATGACGGAAAGTCAAAGCACGGTGGAGTCGTGTCCACGAATCCTTTGGATTCTTTCTAGGTGCAGGGTTGTACATTCTTCTTCTTTTCTTCTTCTGCTTCTTCTGCTTCTTCGTCTTCTTCTTCTTCCGACCGCATACTTGTTCAACTCCGCTGAATACTGCGCAGCGCAGCACCGCTCTTGGGTACTGACCGGCAAGACAAGAACTTGCGAGCCCTACCCAGTCTGATCGAAAGCACGGGCCTCACGGCCAGAACCACCGCACCGCAGAGCCCCGCTCAGAAGAACCGCCAGGTGGCCAGGGGACCCAAAAATCGCTGCAGACGCTGAAGTTTGGCTTGGATGTCGCGTTCCAATCCAGACCTGGGAGCCGTGCCGTGTCTCAACGACGCCAACTTGGCTGAGACAAGCCATCACGATGTCCATCGTCTCAAGAAGAAACGCACCAACTTCTTGTCGTGGGGCCACCTAAGTTCCCCTCATCCACGACAAAGTTGTCATTCTTGGTTTTGGGCTCATATCAGCCACAACAACTGGCTGCTTTCACCTTTCAGCCAGTGCCAGAGTCGGAAAGTAAGGGAAGAGGCCAACCAGCAAATGCAAATTGATTTGCTCATGCATTCTGGGGTCAGACTTAAATCTCAAACATACTCGTCTGAAACTATAATTTTCTGCGTACCCCAGATGTTGTCCGGCAGGGGTTGTACTTGAAAATGCCACTGGTGTTCTCTTTTCATGATTCGCCATGCCATCCTGAAACAGCATAATTTCCTTTTGAGGCTCCAAAAGGTTGGAATCTTGTTGCGAGGGCCAACAGATGTAGAGAGCACCCGACAGCTTCCGAAAGCGAGCCTTCAGTGGAGTGGGATGCTTCGTGCCGAAGCCCTTAAGCCTGGGGCAATGATTGTTTTATCCACTATCAAACCGGCAAACCGCGTTTTTTACTTTTGGTCAAGTGCGAACTCCCAGGCTTCTGAGTAGGTTCGGCGGTTAGGCTTCTTTGAGAAATCCCATGAGGGATGGAAACCACATGGTTTTGCGGGACATTGGTTGCACCCGAAATGGACTTACCCTCCCACACACAAACGCTTGGATGTGAAACCCTGAACGTATCCAAGGGTTTCTTGGGGAAGCCACCCGAATACCACCAAACCCTTTTTGGAGGGAAGCTCAGGGATGGGAGTCGTCCGTTTTGGTTTCAGAGACATCCATTTTTTGCGTGGAGCACGGCCTATGTGCGAAGCCGCGGCCATCACTCTGTTGGGGTCGCTAGGGCTTGCCTGGACTCCACAGGGAAATAGAAAACGTTTAACTGGCAATGATAAGGGATGGGAACTTGTTTGTTTACTCATCCACAGGGAAGCGGAAAGCATTGATGGTGATGGGAACCATGTCCATAGCCCACAGTTTTGCCCAAAAAAGGGGGGGACATATCACTGAATCTGATGAGTAGGGAACCCGGAAACCCATATGGTGGGTGTCTCATGGTGTCTCCTTTTCAAGGGTACTTTTGGAGTTAAATGTCCAAGGAAACCTAAAGGAGTGCAATGATTGAGGTTTCTCTAGTGATGCATCTAGCCTCCCTCCCACGCTGCCATGGCATTTGACAGGGGGGTCCGTGCCTGTAAGAGGAACATGATCCTCTGGGTACCCTCCCATAAATACAGTGTTATTGGGAGCGATTTGCCCTGGGGTTTTGGCCTTGTCTGGAAAGAAACAGAAGGGGCTAAAACAGTAGCAGTCCTGGAGCGTCAAGCTCCGCGAATTTTCTTTAGGAGACCATTTACCGAATATCCCAAAGGCGGAAAGTACATCTTTTTACGGGAGGACGAAGCGGTAGCCTATCATGACAAAGCGTCACGCGAGAAATCCTGTGGCGAGGCGCTGGCGTCTTCTGGCGCTGCTGCTAGGACCGCCGCGTTTCGCGTTTCTGTGCGCTTTGGTTACTCCAGGGGAGGTTTGGGGTACCGGTCGTTTTGCCAAGGGGTGCCCAAAAAAGCTTTTTGACACAAAATTTGGGTCGTCAAATGGGCAGCCCAACCAACCGCGGCTTTGCCAGTGTTTGTTTTTTGGGAATGCCCTAAATTCAACACGCTCGTTTAGGGGTCGTTTTACCTTTTGTTTTCTTTTGGTGGGGGGGGGGAGTGCAATCAAATTCCATGTGGATCCTTGTGGAGAATACGTGTGTGTGTGTGTGTACGCGTGCGTGTTTCGTTTTGGGGCTGTCTTTCAAGGGACACCTAATGGTCGTTGTTGGGAAACATTTTAGATTTTTGCTTATTGTGGTTTAGTGGTTGAAATCCAACCACTTAACAGCTAAAAATTATTTTTGTTGCTCCCCTTCCAACGTCAACCAAGTAAGGGGACCTTTTGAAAATGTCCCAATCGGCGAGTTGGTACCGCAGGAGTCCATGCGCTGCACAGCTTCGTAGAGGCGGTCGGGTTGGTTCCGACCAAACCTCAAGATGAAAATGGATCAGTTTGGGATTCGGACCCATGGCTTTGGTATGAACTTGTGGCTGTCCTTGTTGTTTCCTCTGGTACCCTCAAAAAATCACAACCCACATTTGGTGAACTGTGTTCCTTGGGTTTCTCTTGGGATTTGTGTGTTGCCCTAGTTGTTTCAACAGCACCGAAAGGTGTGCTCTGTTTTAGGCTTTTGCAGAAAGAGCGCTGGTGTCTCATCCTTTTCCTCTTGAGTTTGCTTTTGAAGCCTGGACTTTCTGTCATGCGCAACACCAAGTTCGGTTCTTCCATGTGAACTGTTTCTTCGGACCATCTACCTGCCGTGGCAAGACGGATAAGAGGGGCAGAGCCTCTTCAGAGCGAACCGCAGGTCCTCTCCGAGCCGCTCAAAATTTGAACTTTGAGCAGACACCCCAAGCTTTCAACAGTGGGGTGTGTGCTTTTTGAGTACCCTTTCCAGGCGGGCTTGAAGGGACACCAACAAAACCAACAGTTTTGCTGGGCGCCCCTATTTTGTCCTCCTCTGGCTTGCCCTGAGTATACCTGGACCTTTCTCGGGCACATGTTTTTTTTTTTGCGGATCCAGCAAACACCAAAATGCCCATGTCAGACGAATCCAAACACACATTTCATGGAAAGCACACTCGATGGCGAAAGGGATTTGGGCTTTTGGTCGCCGCCCTCGGAGGTCAATGCTCATTTGCATGTGTCAGCTTGGACAGGGAACGCCCAAGTCTCAATCTATTTTTTGCGTTCCAATGGTTTTTTGAGTTTTTCCTGTCGGTTTCAAAAGGGATCCACCACTACTGGGAGTAATTAATTTTGTTTTTTTTCCAGGAACCCGAGGTCATGCTTCTCATGTCCGCTGAGATTCCTGGAAAAAAAAGAAAATGCCTAGAGCCCCAAGTGACCAAAAAAGGTCGGCAGGTGTATCAG